GGCCTAAGTGAATCAATAAAACATCTGGTCCAATATGTTTCTGAAAAAAAGAACACACACAGCGCTGTAGAGGCAGACTGAAGGGTCTTTCATGGTTTGTACTGTATTTGTAGTTTGTTCAGTGACAGACGCTGAGGTTTTGTTGTGGCTTTGAGTCCTGCATGAAGGCATGTAGGCTGTATGACTGTGAGCTTTGACTGTAAAGTGTACCATGTGGACAAGACATCTGCTCTGCCACATCTATTATGTTTCAGTTACTCCACACAGAAGACTGAGAAGACGTTTGCCTGACAGATGTTCGCTGAGGACTGGTAACTTGATGGATGCTGCATGTGTCTGTTGATCCCTGAGAATAAAGAGTTGTTCTTTGTAGAGCCCTCTCCCCCCACTCAGCCTGCTGATATCTGCATTCCTCCAGGTCTTTACAAAGATGAACTTATCTGCTAGATAACCTTACGGCCAAAGCCGGAATAATATGTCAATTAAGTGATAAGTTGATCAAAAGGGTATCTGCAACTCCTTGGACAATCAAATATTCTTTGGGTCATATTTATAGTAAAAATGCCAAACTTTCTCTGGTTTCAGCTGCAAATATGCAAGCTGTGATGCTTGTATGTTGGTCAGACAAAAATATTGGATTTTAAGATATCTTCCTGGAGCTTAAAGCTATTCATATACCTTAGAATTAAATGATACATTTACTTATTGAGAAATAACATTTTCATTGGAACATGTAGTACTGAAAAGAGCATCAATAAGATAAGTGTGTAAACCGGTGCTGATCTCAAGCAGTCCATGAAAAAGGATTGCTGCCCATCATTTCCTCTCGAACTTGCATCACATCAAAAGCAACTTGACTGGCGTGAAATGTGGATTATGAAGGGATATCTACAACGTCAGGAGAGTGTTCACTGATGTGTTTTCACACACACACACACACACACACACACACACACACACACACACACACACACACACACACACACACACACACACACACACACACACACACACACACACACACACACACACACACACAACTTTCACTCTTCAATTGCCAGCCTCTTACTGACTAGCCAGGAGGGTTAAAAGGAAAGATGGACTTCTGAGAGATGAAAGGTGATCTACTGTAGGTGGATTCACCAAATTCGATTTTCATGGTCTGCTGAGATACAGCCACTCTTAAATAGGCGTGTAAGGCAATCATGCATGTACTCTCACATATGCACATGCTCACACGTATCATATAAGCTTCTAAGATAGTGCATGCATTGGTGTTGGAAGGCATTCTTTGACACGCATTGATGGGGTAATTTCTTCTCGTGAGTGCAATAACACACTTCCATAAAGTAGCTGCGTTCATCAGGGTGTTGGGTGAGTTTAGACACACAGCAGCTGCTTTGATGCTCAGCAGTCTGGCATCACGCTGCTTAGACAAGCAACATGGTACATGTATGTAAAGTGTAAAAAGTTCAATAAATGCTTGGAGCCATTTAAAAAAAAAAAAAACAGCACAATGTGCCACAAAATAAATTACACTTTGGCCTACGATGCCTATGTTACCACTCACTTTGACAGACTGAAAAACACAGAAAACTGAATTTGAAAGACGGCTATAGCGATCGTGTCCACCATAGTATTCAGTACAAGAGAAGAAAGGCCACAGCTGTGTAGTGCAGAGCGTAAATCAACTTGACTATGTCCCAGTCCTGTAATTTCACAATCCTCCACTGAGCATAAACATTCCCTGAATGATCTTCATTCCAGGCATTATCACTCCTCACGGGATTACCGGCTATAAGGATGGATGTATTAAGACTTTAAAAAAGACCTGAATGAAAATCAATCTGCCTCAAGGCTAGACCTTTTTGCCCTTTGTCATAAATTGCAATCTTGTTTATTCATTCATAAGCTTTGTGGTTGATTTACACGTTTCTTCAGTCCTCTGTGCCGTAATCCCTCCATGACTACCTCAGATAATGTGCCAGTCTCGCTTTGAAGGATCTTCTCATCCTGCTCTCGACCCCACAGCTCCACCCCTCACCCCATTTCTTTGTCTTTTTACATCTTGCTCTTTCCCCTTTAGTCCCAAAGCCCAAGTTGGCAGGTAGTGGGCAGGGCTGTGTTCAGTCTTGTCGGGGTAAATTATGGATCAGGTGGCTGGTGAGCTGTCAGAGGTACCAGCTCTGTGCGGGTGCCAAAAACACCGCAGGCATTCCCTGGCACACGAACACACACCTCCCACCTTCAACCCCCCAAATACATAAACATGGTTATCGAAGCAAGGGAGCCCCTCATCTTCACCACCATCAAACCTCATGTGTTTTCATCTAACATTACTTATTCACTGCACACATGGTCACATATGGGGGCACATGCTTAAGTTCATGAACAAACACAAGTGAACATCAGATTTATATAGGCATGCATGAAAGCAGAAACACAAACACACACACACATATGGTGTGCAGCAGCCTCCTCCTCCCTCTTTCTGGAGGAGCTCCAACATGCCCCTAAATCTCAGCACAGGGTATGTTCTGGCACAGAAAACACATCAATACACTGGCTTTTTGCAATTAGAGGAAGGTACGCACACAGCTCCTCCGCTTCTGCAAATCAACTAATTCACAGATGAGACACACACTTAATCTAAACAGCTGGTCTGTTATGGAGATAAAGCAGAGAGAGAGAATGAGAGGGCTGCAGGTTTGTTCAATACCTGCACCTAAAAGCCTAACTGACAACCCTATTGCCTGTAATAAGTCACTTTACGCAGCCTTACAGATGTTGGTATTCTCTAAGCATAACCTGATGTCAAAGTAATTACTGTGTCCTAGTTTGTCGCAGCAGAGGTATAAAACAAAGGTCGAAAGAAATACAAGGAAAGAGAGAGGATGGATGCAGAGGGGGAGCAGGGGGAGGGAGAGGCCGGTGGCCCGTACGAGGCAGGGTGTGATTTTAATACTTGGAGCTCAGTCTCATTACAGGCTTCGGTCTGAGGAGCGCAGGGGTCAGACCTGATCCAAACCCACACTGACAAGTGCAAATGGGATTCTGCTGTCTGTCTCAACACCCTTTGTACACACACCCGCCCCACAAACACACACACTTTCTCCCGAAAACCAACCCCCTCTTTTAACACACACACTCTATCTCCCAAAGGCATCACCCTGTATACGTTAGGGCAAACACACACATATGCATTCACACAGATATCCATAAACACACAGGAAATCAGAGTGACAAAGTGAAGCGCCTCTTCTTTTTGTTAGCTTTCTCTTGCCTGCATCTGCGTTCCCTCCCAACATTACAGCACCTTCTTCCACAGGCAAGGACATTTTTCAACATTATCCATTTTATATCTTTGTAATCTAAAAGTTTGTCTCTCTGTAGTTGATATTTTGTCCTCAAGACCAGTGACCTAACTTCTGGCACAATTCTATAAAACTTGACCAACTCATTCGATCTTAGTTTATGACCCCAGTAGCGGTTGCACAATATCATTCACATAGACACACATTTTAAAAATGCATACACATAAATCTAGCTTTGCACATGGGACCATCATGTGAGGCAGGGTGGGCAGCGTTGACTTGCACAATCACCGTGATGAATCACCCCATGTAATGGCCTGCCGAAAAGTACTTTATTGTTAAATAGTGCTTTTCCGTGGAGACTGGCTATCTACATGACCTACACACGGCTAATGTATGCAGTTAACACACACTCCCCCCCCAAAAAAGGCAACGACCTAGGAATAAATTACCATTGACCTTTATACACATCATGTTAAAGATGCAGCATCCTAAGTGTGCTAGACGTGTATGAAAACATACAGAGATGTTACAACGATAAAAAACCCTGCTGTACATGACCTATGAATGCACAAACAACTTTTAACACAGAAATACTCTTGAGTGGAGCGGCAGGGTACATTTCCAGTGTGAATGGCCATTCATGTAAAAGGAAACCACAAAATGACCATGTTTCCTCTCTGCTTAAATGTTGAACGAGCATGTGCGCATAAGCAACCCGGAAGCATGCAGACCGCCTTGCAACATAAAAAAAAAAGGTGTTCTTAGAAATTAAATATGAAAAGTATAAAATATGCAGCTAGCTCCCACAATGCCAACACTGCCTCTGACACAGGCTTTCTCTCCTTCTTTCCCACAGCATGTTTTATTCAGGACTGATATTTTAAAAGCTGAAATAGAACAATCTATTTTCACTTGCACTCCTCACTTCTGATTTACAGATGAATATTTCAGAGGAACGTCAGAAAAGACAGAGAAACTCCACTCGGCACGCCGGCGTCTGCCTCACCTCTCCCTTCTCCTCCCATCCTCCCTCCGTTTTACAAGACAGCTACGTGATCCTCTTGCAAGGCTCACTTAAGAAGCAGATTTGCTTAATTTTCTACATGATTTAACAATTTGTGGAGTGAGTGTTCGGGGGCATGAGAAGGGGGCGAGAGAGGAGTCTTTGGCCCATGAGTGGAGGAAAGTGAAAACGGGGGAGAGGGGGAGAGGGGGGGGGAGATAAAAAGAGGCACAGTTCTGCACAGACAGGACACTTGATATGAGGGGGGGGAACAAGTCCCCGAACAGAAGAGCATTTAAGCTACCTGCTGAACCCAGTTCTGTTTCAAAAACTTTAGGTAAAACTCTTTCTAAATGTATTCCAAATTAAAAAAAGGCAACAAATTTGACTTAATTAATTTTCTTTCACAACTTAAAATATGAATACATGCAGTAAGCAGGTAAGTACATTATGGACACATGTTAAAGGCACACATCTGCTCCTGCTCTTTCCAGTCCCTCATGCCTATTTATACCTGACTGGAATGCCAGTGAGTGACTGACTGACTGACTGACTGACTGACTGACTGACTGACTGACACACACACACACACACACACACACACACACACACACACACACACACACACACACACACACACACACACACACACACACACAAGGAGTACAGATGGTACTCACAGTCTCTCACTGGTGCGGGGGATATTCCTTGGCATGGTTTTGAGACCCAGTCCATGGCAGTCCACTGTGGTGCCGCTGCAGGTACAAAGGGCTGGGCAGGCGCTGCTGTGGCCCACGAGCAGAGCGCAGAGCATCCCCACCCACATCCAGAGGGCAAGCTGTCCCATGCCTGCCCCAAAGCAGCTACCTCTGACGGGCATATTCACCTCCACTGCAGACAGCTCTTCTTCAACAAAACCCTTACTTCTCTCTGTCCACCTTTTCTCTGGAGGAAAAAAAGAGTCCTGCTACACCTTGCAAGTCCTTTAAAATAATGAAATATGTGTATAAATAGAAGACAAAACTAAAATAAATGCTAATATGTTCCTCTAAGCTGTGAAGCAAATTCCTTTTTGTTCTTCTATATTTACTTTGATGTAGGTATGATATCCACCACAGTTTGCTGATGTTAAAAAAAGCTTGTTTTGTTCTTTCTCTTGTTTTCTCCTTGTAAACTCTTCTCCTCTCTTGTCTCTGTGGAGTTGCTGTGCTCTGGTCTGCACACGTCTGCGTCTCTGTCCTCCTCTCACTCAGTCCCGCTCTGCTCTGCTCGCCTGAAGAGAGAGGGAATAGAGAAAGAGCAGAAAGAGAAAAAAAAAACCAGTCTCTCTCTCTCTCTCTCTCTCTCTCTTACACACACTCACACACACACCAGTCATCCATCACAAGGATCTACAAATAGCANAGCCCCTCAGAGCATTGGTTGCTCCAGCAGCAAATCAGCAGGAGGTGGGCAAAGTATTTGTGCAATGGCATTAGTGTGATTGCATGTGAGCTTGTGTGTGTGTGCACACACAAGCTCACATGCAATCACACTAATGCCATTGCACAAATACTTTGCCCACCTCCTGCTGATTTGCTGCTGGAGCAACCAATGCTCTGAGGGGCTCGGGTTGTTTACCTTTTCTGAGCGAGCGGAAGACACACAGCAACACCCAAGAGCTGGGAGGTGAACTGGTTCCAAATGAGCCTCATATTTACTGAACGAGATCTCATACAATTTCTTGGGAAAAGAGTGGTGAAATGGATGGAAAGAGATTTTTGGATTTCTAGTTGTGTGTGTGCATACGTAATTACAGGCTTTATCCTGTGGAAGGAGCGTCTTAGGTTAAACTCCTTCCTCTTCCCCGTGGCCATATTTCTACGTGTGTGTGTTCGTGTGTGAACCCTGAGCTCTGTCTCCTCTCTGTCTGTGGTGAGCAGGTCCATTCTTAGGGCTTTATACTTAGCACACCTCCAGGCCTTTTGTTCACGAGACTCCACAGGGTGCAGAGCTGTTGCCACATAGCAGCTGAACTTAGGAAGTTGGTGACTTTTTCACCGTGTAAAGACAAAGCCTGTGTGCCTCAAGATTAATTAGGTTGACATGGTGCAGGCTATGTAATAAAGCAAACTGGTGACAACATGTTTGCTAGTCGAAATCTGAGATCGAACATTTGGTTGGTTAAGTGAATGAGGCAACTTTTGTCTGCTGTTGAGGTGCACGTGAGCACACCACCTCCCTCCTACGGCTCCCAAAGAGCTGCTAATATGCAGCTGTGGGCTGCGGTTGTGTTGTGGAGGCTTCCATGTATTATATATCACAGAGGGCGTTTGGAAGCATTGCAGTTATGACAAAATCAAGGCAACTTTCAGATGTATTATAACAAATTAAACATTAATACTTCTTATAAACTAGATTTTCTAATATAAATTGAAAAATGTTTACAAATATTTTTGAAACATGTGCAATTTCCTTCTGTATGAACAAAACCTTCACAGTTTTTTGTACTGGACCTTAAAACTTACTTGAATTTACTTCTTTAATATCAGTAAGGAAGTAACAGTACTTATTTGTATTACTTGAAAAAGCAAATTCAAACCCATCCTCACTATCTTTGCAGTATTAATTTACATGTGGCTAGATTTTCATAGTTTTTATAATTAATTTGCTGTAGCTGATATGGACAAAAGTATGATCAACCTCTTAAACAGTAGTCTACATTTAAAGGACATATGGTTCTGTTAATAATTTATACAAGTTTTGAAATGATAACCACCACTGTTCCAAACAAAAAGCTGTTACTTTGGGTCATAAACACTTCAGATCAACCTCTTCACCCACCTCTGATTTTACACAGTTATGAGTTACTGTACATGTGCATATGAACACACTGTGAGAAGCAAAAACAGACTAAACACTTGGAAAATCAAGTTTAAACATGTGAATACAACCAGAAACTTCTATCCTGCACGTCTGTGCTCTCTCTTCAGCCATCCAACTTTCTCAGTAAACAAAAGACACTTGTCTGCTGAGGTAAACCGATGGACTGCCCACATTCCAGTAAAAATACATATTGAGCCGTGCAGGGCCAGTGAGCACAGGGGGAAAAGTGAATTCTAGTACAAACGTCTATCTGTTTCCTATATTTGCTCCCTCTCACAATACTCTCCTGCTGGTATCACAGTATGGAGCAGTGATCTCATTAGCCCCAGTGTGTGTGTGTATGCCCACCGTAGAGATATTTTTTGGTGAGAAACAGTATGTTTCTGCAGGGGTGCCTTCACTTCTTAGCTTTGTACAGTCTAACAGGAAATCTCTGAGGGATGGAATCGATTCCCCTTCCCTGCTGTTTCAACTAGAAGTGTGCTGCACACACATTCACACACACCTGCCCATCCCAGGCAAAGCTTCCAGAAATGAGTGTTACAACTGAGAAGCAGCCAGATCTATGTGTGTGTTTACCTGGTGTGCATTGTATCAGAGGGAGCGCTGAGGTGGAGAGAGGCATCGAGTATTGATTGACAAGGAATGAGGCACAGTTGGAAACCAGAAATGATGAAAGATAGGAGGGCAGGGAAACAGTGATGAAGGTGTAGTAGGAAAGAAATATAAATCCTCTTTTGTAATCCTACAGCAGAGATCCTCTATCCGCTCGGAACGTTTATTTATTTTCCTTGTAAACTTTAAATAGTTTTTCCAGGTAGTTTAAAACTCCATTCTCTTAAAGCCAGTGAAGTGCTGCAATTCAATCAAGTAAACAGACAAAGAATAGGAGGAGTAAAATGAGTTAGAGGGCAATGGAAGGACCTGAAAGTGACAGACAGTGCTAGGAAGCAATACATAGTGTGTGGATAGAGTAGGTTGGCAGATAAAGTGAAAGAAAGAAAAAGAGGCAGAGGGGAGAAAGATTGGCCTCATCTGTACACTATGAAAGGATTCTCATCTCCTCTCATCTATGTGGCTGTGCTGGGAGACAGAGAGGGAGAGGGAGCCACGGGCACCTGCAGTGGAGCATTAGCCAAAAGCCCTATTATCACTTCAAAGCTGGACTCTGCTGGAGGAGGCCTGAGTGACACTGGGGCCCTATGGAGGATGAAACACGCCTCCTCCCTCTGTCAGCTTTCCCCATTTCCCCTCTATCATCCCCCCTGCCCCTTTCTCTGTACCTTACTTCTTCTCTGTCATCCACCTTGTCCTACCTTCCTTATCACTTCCCTTTCCTCCCCCTCTATTACTTCCGCCCTGCGTCTTATCTGTATCTTTAACACCTGGCTGCCCTATATGAGCTCTCTTTCCCCATTCCTCTTCCCTCCTCGATGAATTTCTCCATCCTCTCTGGCTTATAAAAGACCTGGGGACGGGAGGCCCTGATGAGCCCCAGGCTGTGGTAATGAGCTCGCAGGCCCTTTCATGTGGAGATCAAGCTGATGGCTGGAGGGGGTGTTGTTGCTGCTGGTGTTAGTGGAGTGGATATTACCAGCAATGGATTGTGGCTTGTAGAAAAGAAGAGTAATAGGTCAAGCCAAGCCCAGACCGGACCTGGAGATGTAGACAGTTCCCATGAAGTCAAGAGTGTCCCAGCCAGACACAGAGACACACAATGCGGTCAAAGAACGGGGCAAATCATTATGGTCTTTGTAACTTAGTGCATTCCTCTGTCCAATACATTATCCCGGAGACCTTTCCCGATATTTACAGGCCACAGAAGGTCAGATGCTTTAAGCAGGGCAACGACTATAGGCCAGAAATCAATGGCAGACACGCAAACTAATACAACATTTTCCATGACTTCTCCCCGCTTGCTCTTTGAGCGAGTCAACACTTCATAAAATGGACATCTGAATAAATCTAGGGACACAGAGAGAGGGACAGAGGGGTTTTTGAACAATGCCTGATGCTCTTTGATTTGACTACGCCTAAAGAAACGTTGCCACTCCTTAAATCCTGTTAAATCCTCCAAAACCAATCTATGCATGTGTGTGAGTGTGTCTGTGTGTGTCTATTAATCCGTAACGCATAGCCACACACCATTATTGCTCCCCCCCCCTGACACCTTCATTAGACCCAAAGACCGGAATTACTTCTGACTTGTAGATTAGGACCACTTTTCTGGCTACAACGTTCATGAATGCTAGGGTTCCAACCATAGACTGTATATATATAGTATATGTATATATATATTCCAACTAATTCATTCATTATTGATTGATGTAGTGTTTGGAATTTTAGAATACGGTGAGAAAAGGCCTTCAAAGTTTTTCAATTTGCAGTTTAATACATAGGAAGGTTGCACATTCTTGCTACATATTTAGTGTCAGTGTGCAAGTGTGTGAGAGGATATGTCCAGGTTCCACTTCATAAAGCTGTTGTAAAGGAGAGGAGGCCATTCATGGCTAACAAAGAGTTTTCACATGAACAAGCTAACTGACTGGTGACCGAAAGCCCTTCACACTTCCTCAACGTTCATTTTACACATTTTTATTTCCTGTCTATTTCCTCTCCCTCTTTCTCAGGAGTTTTTTTGTTAAACAGCTTTGGTGATTTTGGTTTGTAGAGTGCGCTATAAGAAAAGACCTCCTACAGGATTTATTGCCAGACACTTTGGCAGAATCCCAATCGAAGATGGATATGTAATAAATACATCAGTTGAATCATTAGAGCATCAGTCTGTAATCTGGGCAGGGTTGACTTTTTACACATTCCTTTGTCTTTTTATAGTATAGCTCCTAGTAGTTTCTATGGAGACTGAATTGGCAGAGTGTTGTTTTGCTGCGTTTAGCCCCTCGGCAATCTCACCCTCATTCACCTTCATACCTGTGTTTCTGAATATAGAACGATGAAAGATGGTGAGACGTCTGTTAACACCCTTGCTTTTCTAGGGGCAGAGCAGTTAAGTACTGTTAAAAGTTTCTTTCACATTTCGTGTAAAGTCAAAACTGGGGGATGTCGGAGTCAAAATCGAATTAGTTGAAAGTTTCCCCCTGGCTGATTGAAGGGAACCTGGGAGTTGTCATGATGCTGTCAGCCCTTTGAGTCTCTGTAGCATAACAAAGATATATCCAATGTTTGACAGATGTCGTAGAACTGAACTGCACATTACTCAATGTTTTAATTTTCTTGTTATTTGCTTTTCTGGCTTTCCTCCCGGCCTCCCCTGATAGGAGGAAGGTTGGTGTAACTAAAAAGAAAAGGTAGAAGTCAGACTTGTTTCTTTCCAAGTTGTTAGAGTGAGTTGAGCAGAGTTGAGCGGAGACGTCCAGCTGGGTTAGAGAAGCACAGCCTTGTTTCCCAGGCATGCACCGTCTTTGTGACATGGT